GATAACGCAAGGGGAATTCCTTCCGGTCCTCCTGTTGCTTCATCTATATTCGCAGCCCATTCCTAAACCCCAGCTCACCTTTTAGTTCTTCTAGGTCTCTTTTCAAGTTTAGTCGGGGAAAGTCCACCCTTAGCATCTTTTAAAATGGTAAGCCAGCCCCAATGACACTCACATGATAAGTGAAAAGGAGGCTAAACATTACAGAAAGGGTATCACACTTTTAGAAAATTACAAATATACAATTTGTGAAATACGAGTGTTTGTCATTTTCCTAAACTTTCTAAAGGAAATCATACTATTCCTACTTATAATACAGGCACAGACACACATCACCTAAGGACAGTGTCCATATCAGAAAGCTACAGTCATTTTTAAAACAGAAGAAAACTTTCATTTTTTTTTCCAAGTAACATGCCCTTCGAACAGAAAGAGTGTGACGCTTCAGATAAAGATAATAACCCCCCTTTGGTGTCTTGGGCACTAAGCAGCAGAGATCCAGTATCAATCACTTCCTATAAGCTGCACCCACACAGCTGCACAACACCCATGCAACACCAGGCATCCGGCAGCGGAGTCAAGCTCCTCCGTAATGAGGAAGACACTCAGCAGATGGCAAGTCAGAGTGACAGCTCTTCGGGAATGAAGAGAATACAGAGCACTGGGGTCTGAGGACCTGTGGACTGTCTTCCTCTTAAACACATGGACACCTCATACTTAACAAAAGATCTTACAAAAGTCAAGATCTATGCTTTTCCTTAAAGACTGTTCAGTTCTGAGTGTAGCGAAACAAAAATTACATGGGCTAGGTTTTCCAAATTAGGATGTATTGTTTTCTGCAGAAAGAAAAAAAAATCACTGTAGGGAGAAGGGGATTGAGTGACAATGCAATACTCAAAAGGTATAAGTTTGTTGATTTAAAATATGAATCGTAAAAGGTTCTACTTTGGAGCCCTATGGGTGGCAAGGGAAGGTGTGTCAACTTGCAAAAAAAAAAAGAGAGAGAAACAATCCCTTCTCCATCATCAGGATGTGAAGTCTGATTTAGGAAATGGGATGCAGATACCCCATCTTTTTGTCCTCCTTGTAATGCCAGCGGTAACTAGTAGCCAGCACTTGCCCCTGCTGGTGAAGAAAGGGAATAGCTCAGACCAATATGTGACAGAGGGTCGTCATTAACATGTTGAGAGCTAGGGATATAATTGAGCGGCAGAGCACTTGCCTGGCATGTCTAAGGCCTTCAGTTCAATTCCAGAATACATGTTTGAGCATGTGCACATGCACATGCGCACACAGAAACACACACACATGCACATGCACACTCACAAGGGGAGCTGAGCCTGAAGTTTAGCAGCACTGCTCAGGTGATTTTCCCATACTCTGGACTGAGAGGCGGGCTCTGGACTGAGAGGCCAGCTCAAGAGGGTGTGGAATAGCTTACATTCCCCACTGTGTTTTCTTGACATCATTGCAAGTGCATTCAGCGTGGTTCCCAGCAGTATAACTTTTCTATTTTCTACATATGCAGAAACAAACAACTCCCAGACCTGGACTTCCTGTTCTGATGCTTCCGAGAGAGTTACTAAGTTACTGAACTCATCTGAACACTGCTTTCCTTATCAAAAAAAATAAGCAAATAAATAAATCATTTAAAAAAATAAAAGGAAGGAGAGCTGGTTGTTGGTGGTGCACACCTTTAATCCCAGAACTCAGGAGGCAGAGGCGACAGATCTCTGTGAGTTCAAGGCCAGTCCGGTCTACAGAGCTAGTTAGTTTCAGGACAGTCTCCAAAACAATACAGAGAAACCCTGTCTCAAAAAAAAGGAAAAAAAAAAAAAGAAGAAGAAGGTGAAAAGAAGCTGAGTATGGGGCTGTGATGAAAACTAGAGAGAACATACAAGCCCTCCTAGAAGCTGGTCACAAAGGAAAATATTTTGCTTTATATTATTGTATTGCCAGCTTTCCCAAAGTTAGAATAATCTTTTTTTTCTTACCTGATATTTGTTTTTATTTTTGAAACAAAGTTGCATTTTGTATGCAAGAGCTAGCTTAGATCTCAGCATAGGCTGAATTTCAATTTACAGCAATCCTCCTGTATCAGCCTTACTATTGTTAGGATTGCAAGCATGAGTCATGAGCCATCCTGCCTGGTCACAGATATTTTTAACTGAATGAAAAAAAAAATCCTAGTGCTGGCACTACATCTCAGTCAGGAAAGGCTTGCCACACAAGCCTAAATACCTAAGTTCAACTGAATCCACATACCCTGTGATGTCCACCCACCAGGCTATGGTATTGGCAGCAGACACTTCACCCCTCACCCCCTACACACACACTATAACAAATCTTAAAGTCTATATGGAAAAAGAAAATAACCAGGACAAAAAGTGTCAGTGCTATAAAAGAACATATACCTATCTACAAAAAAAAATTCTATAAAAACATCTTTCACTAATGTGTTAACAACAGACAAAATTAACAAGCAAGGGGGGAAACCTCAGTAAGGACAAAATTAAGTACAAGAAAGTGCATCAAAATTATGTGTAACTATGTATGCAGGTGGTGTTTCTTGCAGGTATTGGGAGAGATTAAAAAAAAGAATAATAACATAATACTTTAAATTTTCAGATTGGTCAAGACTGAAAAGCACAGTATTCCTAAGAAGGTGGCAAGGGATACCTTCATACAAATCGTAACGTACATTGATGACTTTGTTTCTAAGCTGTAGAATGCTCAAACAAGGTTACTGGATCAAAAATATAGTAGTAGTGGCAGTAACAGCAGTTCCAATCAGGACAATAATAATTACCACTCCTGCTACCAGGAATAGTAACAATCCACTTCCTGTTTGTCTCCCTGAGGAGATTAGCAAGATTGTGGTAACTGCAGTGGCCACACAGCTTCTAAACAGACAGTCCTGATGTGCCACTGTTCTAAATGCTCACCACACCCCTAAAAATACAGGAGCGTTTTATCTATTTTAAAAACTAGAAAGCCAAGGCACTAAGTTTACCTGTCAAACACATAATAACTATATGGGAACTATTTTGTACAGACTGCATTTTAATATTTTATTGCTGTTGGCTACATTTTTGTCTTCATGTTACTTCTGTCACCACATATTTTTGGTATAAGCAACTTCATGTCTATGACAATTACAAAACAGTGAAATGAAAAGTCATGCGTGTATATGAATATGAATAGGTTCATGCAGGTAGCAATAAATAAATGGTACTTCTGTCTAAAACAAATCAAAACACGGGGAGGGGCACATACTGAATTGTTACAGAGGAGATATTGGAGGGGGAGAGAAGGGCTGGAGACAGAACAGGTAACAATCTAGATAAACAGCAAATCATAACATACATACTCCCACAGTCAGACAGTTGAAGGGCAGGCTAACAGTAAAAGAATAACATTTTGCAGTCCCTGGTAGAATAAAGGGACTTGCAAATGGTTAAAGCAGGGGGGGGGGGGGTGTGAGAAGGATGTTTTTAGGCAAACTTCATTATTCAGAAGAGCAATATCTTTGCAAAATGATTTGGGTATTTTTCCCCAATGGAAAAAAATATTAAGAAATTTCCACAGTACTTTATTTTTTCATTGAACAACCAACAAAAGGTCTTATTAATGCGGAGGTTCAGAGGTGAGTAAAGACTGCCTGCTAAAGGCATCGTCTAGGTGCCAGGGAGCTTAGTCCTGTCCCTGGCACCACTGTCGGAATAGCTGACCTCTGACATACCATTTAACTGGCTCTCAATTTCCTGATTTACAAAGAAAGGAAGTTCAACCAGGCCCTCCATAAAGGTCCCTTTAGTGAGAAACTGTAACAGTAACAAATGTGTCCCTAGGATGCATAATATAGGCAAGTCCAAAACCTAGCAATAACACTAATAATTACACATTTTAGAAGAAACAGAGTTCAGAGTCTTAACACCTGATATTAAATTGGCAATTTAAAGGCCTGCTTTAAAATGTGTCCTTTTGGAATTGAAAAGTACAGTAAGACTGATTAGTGATTCCATATTTCCAAACGTGAATGTAACTACTCAATATTTAATTTTCATATTGACTTTTTAAAAGATGACTTAACTTGTCATCTTAGAATGGTGTCAGTCCTAAAGGAGCCATTTAACAAAAATGTCATCCTCAAGAGACTAGATATAATAGCTGTTGGGCAGACGACAGACAGAGAAATACGCTGCACATTAAAATTTCCAACAGGAAATGTTGAACATAAATTACTGAAAGGAAACAAAAGTGGCAAAAGGGAATTTGCTTAATATGACAGCCTTCTGAAGCAGCATTCACAGTTTTAGTATTTATATTTTCCTAAGTATTATAAACAATACAGTATTAGCACTTTATGAAAGCATGAAGTGTCAGTAATTCATACAGCATAATTTCCATGGGCTTGTTAAATTTTATGTATTTTTGTATCCTTAAATGGCTGTGTCTTTTCTTTCCAAAAGCATACATAAAACCCAAACATCCCAACTTAGAAACAGTTATGTGGAAACCACCTTTTAGACGGTATGGAATTCCCTTTAAAAACCTACCCAGACTTTTGATAGACTCTCTAGGTATGAATCCCTCTAAAGACTGTTTGTCCCAACCAATTTTTATAGGCACAGACGTAAAGAAAAGTTATAAGGCTTGCACAGTTCTCTAAAAGTCCTGCTAAGTAGCAGTTCCCAGGAGGTATGTCATAATTGTCTTATCTACCAGCGTCTTTATTTCTATCTCATAGACTAGTTTCATGTCTAATGTTACTGGCACTTGTATACAGGAGTGTACTCCCCCCTCCCTTCTAATTACAGATGGAACTTGAGCTAGATCAAAGGCATTTTAAGAAGGTCAAATTTTACTTCTCTGAAAAACAGAGGATGTGATCTCACGTCATTAATTAATGCTGAGCCATGCCCCTTGGAGCCTTCTCTGGTGGTGCAGAAAACTGGGTCCTGTCTTGCCCACCTGCTGGAATGATCGAAGTGTAGACTTACCCAAAAGAGCAGATTGAGGGCGTAGAGCAAGCAGCGCAAACACTTGACGGAATCTTCTCTGGCCATTGTGAATCTCCGGAGGGAGAAGCCCCATCCTTTCACCACATCCTACCGGCCCAGGCAAAGCAGTCAGGATCTGCAGGGGTGGGTACGCAGAGAACTAACTTCACAGCCAGTGCGCCCCTCTGCCAGCCCAGCCCTGTATTCGGCTAGCCTTCAGATTGGGTCCCCAGGATCCCCAAGCCTAGTTTATTCGAGACATCGCCTCATCAAAACTCATTTGTTAGCGTCATAAAGGGAACAAAGCTCCCAAAAGTTCTAACGTGGCTTCAGATAACACCTGTTGCCAAGAGAAAAGGCTGAATCTCCGGATGAATGAAGGTGGCTCCCAGGAGACCTGCGGAGGGGCCTTCTCTATTCTGTTGAGACTTTATTTGCCCTCTCCCAGGAGACAGCTTGCTCTCAACTGCCCTAAATGTTACACCTGCACAGCTACCTCCATTCCCGGACACACACACACACACACACTCACTCACACACACACCCACCTCTGGAGATGCCACAGGCTCCACTGCTACCCCCATTCTCGGACGGACGGATGGACGGACAGATGAACACACACACAGAGAGGGAGAGAGAGAGAGAGAGAGAGAGAGAGAGAGAGAGAGAGAGAGAGAGAGAGAGAGAGAGAGAGAGAGAGTTCCGCGCTCCCCACCCCACCACCCAGTAGCACAGCCCGGGTGTGAACTCGAGGGGCCACAGGGGGCGCAGCGCAGAACTAGCATTCCGCCCCGGGACTAGGGTTTCTTTGGGAGAATGTAAGAAACACTGTTTGTCGTCCGGGAATAATGGATGAGCCTGGGGCGGGGTGGCGGGGAGGGAACTTCGGGGAATCGAGGCTGGTACGACTGTGCCCACTCTGGGCAGGTCATTCACGCACCACCACCCCCAACCTCGGGGCCCCGCACGCCGCTGCGACCCTAAGGTCCCCGCCGCCCGCAAAGCACAAAGCCCGCGCGGTCAGGCAAAGCCACCACGGCTGCGCGCCCCCGGCAGGACGCACGGTGCAGAGCAGAAGCCACTCGGGTGGACTGTGCGGACCGCGGGCAGAAGAGATGCAGGACTTGTGGCCACTCACCTTCCGAGCCGCGCTCCCGCCGGGGGACAGTCAGGGACACACGGCGGACACTCATCCGGGCAGGGACGCTCCTCCCGGAGAGCCAAAGGGCTGCATTGGCTCCCGCAGCAGACGCTTCCTTGTCTTACTCTCCCCAGCCGTCGCCGTCGCTGACTCCTGGGAAAAAGAAAAGGAAAAAAAAAAAAAAAAAAAAAAAAAGTCCCGGGCAGCAGTCGCTGGAAAGTCTCTGCTAAGCCACCTCCCAACGCTGCTGTCCCTCCCAAGTCCTCGCCAAGTCCGGACGAGGGAGCCGCGGCAGCCAGGGCCAGCTGCACAAACTCTCAGCGCATGCTCGGCCGCTGGCTGCCGAGTTGGGTCCTAGTGGGTGTTTCTTGTCCCTCTCACCCAGAGTGACACCCCAGAGGGATTCTTCACCTCTGCAAGATAGAATGCTGGAGAGATAAAAACCTGCAGAGCTGAGGGAGTCCTCACAGCAAATCCGTTTAAAATGGTGGCGTCGTCGCAGGGGTGGAAGCTGAGTTATACGCATAAGGAAACAGGCTTTTATTATATGAAAATATTTGTGTTTGAGAAGGGGGGCCACGGGTGGCCCAATCCAATTCCTGCAATGAGAGACTAGTTTTCACAACCTTTATGGAGCCACCTCCTGTGACTTGTCATTAACGTGTGCCCTGTGATCCTTACTGATTTGTTGCACTCCCCAATCAAATATCTACATATATATGTATTTAGATACATAGATAGATAGATAGATGATATAGATAGCTCCACTAATATTTGCAAAACCATGGGTGTATCCCTATATCCAGGCTCAGATAGGGAAAAGAACAATTAATTCGCTCACAAGTAATCCAGACTTTCCCAAATTTCTCTCAATTGTGTTGAGTATGTTCTAACTGGTGATATATCTCAAAATGCACACAGGGTGGTGAGTGTTGTCTTTTAAACTAGAAATTCGGATAGCATCACGATAACTACAAAGCATCTCTCCAAACCTAATTTCTATCTCAGAAATAAGAAATTTCATATTTAAAAAAAAATTAAATTGCTGGATCATGTTGCACCTCAAAAAAAAAAAGATTGTGTTTTATCCCTCCCTCAGAATAGCATACATTGCTGTGATCATTTGTTCCCACATCTAACAGCAAATAAAACCTCACCAATAAATGTGTTACCTGATATCCTAGCAACATCTTTGAGAAAAATTAATAACCGGAGTACAATTTGCAGCTGTAGTCTGTGTCCATCATCACCTTTTTGCCGTATGACTAAAGTGACAAGGGGACATGGTCTAAACTGGTTGGAACTGAGGTTAACACCATGAGACAGTGTGGATGCCCAGGGTTAAGTTTAACATTCTTCCTAAGCAAACCCTTAAAACAGCCAGCTCTTAGAGGCATACAAGAAGTACAGACATCCACACAGATTGGCAAGGAAAGCGTCCATCAGATGACTGCCCCTCCAGTCACACAGTGACTTCTGGAATCGTGGGGAGGAGCTCAGAAAGCTGCTTTCATCCTTGTCAGTGTGTTCACAAGCGGAGGCAGCTGCCAGATTCACAGGGAAGGCAACTGGAACAAACCACCATCCAAATGCTGTTGGTGCCACACACTTCCTGAAAGATATAAAAGCTCCCTCACAGAGGGGTGGCTTTGCCATTAAAACAGGGGAAAGGAATGCTAACAATGCTCACGTCTCAGAAAGAAAATCCCCTTCCATTGTTAGAAGACTGGTCACCTAGCCGAGAATGATAAAATAATGAAATAGATAAAAATGTCCTCTTTTTCCACAGTGAGTAAGGAATGTGGAACTAAAAGAAAGTCAAAGTAATAGTTTAACATCACCTCTTAGTCCAGTTAGAGTCCACGCCACTGTCTGGAATCCCAGCTGTCGGTCTAGTACAGCAGTTTAATGGCTCTCAAACTCTCTGTGTTAGGATCACTTCTAGTTAGCTTTGAGAAAAATCCTGAAGTGCTGGTGGACTTCAGCAGACTGAAGTCAGAGTCTCCAAAGGTGGAGCCTTAGCTTGCCATTTTAAACTTCTCGTGGCAAATTAAATGTGCAGTACAGTTTAAGAATCCACTAGTGTTTGGTGGACCCTCAAATGAGCAGGGTAGCCTCTTCAGGTGGAGTAGGATTAAATCCCTCACCCGCCAGTTGATGAGCATAGAGTATTCACATGTTATAAGAAGAAGACAGCTGTAGTTATTTCTCTGATAATTTCTCTGATATCCCTGACAAATGGTCATCAGGAGTTTAATCAATTTCAGTATGAGAGACCTCAACACACTTAAACCCTGCAATACAGGGCAGCCGTAATCGCCTTGATGTGATCATACCTCTTGCAACTTCTTTTTTTTTTTTTTAAGATTTTATTTATTTATGATGTATACAATTATCTGTATGCATGCTTGTACACCAGAAGAGGGCACCAGATCTCATTATAGATGGTTGTGAGCCACCATGTGGTTGCTGGGAATTGAACTCAGGTCCTCTGGTAGAGCAGCCAGTGCTCTTAACCTCTGAGCCATCTCTCCAGCCCCCTCTTGCAACTTCTGTACCCTCATTTTGCCATTTTGCCTCCACAGCCTGAGCAGGATCTCCTACCAGGCAGCTCAGGGGCTACTTGATGGCTGTCAGTTTCCCTCCCTCTCTGGGATGGATGTCACAGCAGTCATTCTGTAGACTCTGTCATTTTCTCAACAACATTCACTCCATGGGGACCGTCACCATTCAAGGAAGGAGTGGCAAATTAAGAATGCATAGACTCACTGCCCGAAAGGCAGGAATTCATTCTAAGGCACTGCATGCTGCATTAAGTATTATTTGAGTGTGTGGCGTTTACTGTACCTCCCTCCTGCTGAAGATATTAAAAATGAAAGTCCCTGCCTGCTGAGAAACGGCAAAACAGTTCCTTTCTATTTATTTAATGGTAATAATATGAGTAAGATCTATATTTACAAGTACTCTTTTATAGGTTCCCAAGTAAAAAGCAGAACTCAGCCATGCAGGAAGATGGGCACAGGCTCTTCTATGCACAAGGCATTTCACTTATACTTAAGGTAGAGCAGAAGGAACAGGGGAGGGGCTTGGTGGTGGCGTGAATGAATGAGTTTTTGAGTTTTTGCTGGCTTCTGGCTTCTGGGCATAAAAGCCAGTTCTTCACAATCATCAGCCAAGAGAGGCTAACAGGTTTTTGTTTTTTGTTGTTGTTGTTGTTGTTGTTGTTGTTTTTTTGTTGTTGTTGTTGTTTTTTGTTTTTTAAAGCAAGTCTCGTGTATATAACATAGTGTCAGCTTCCCACAATGACACAGGAACTTCTCAGAACTGTGATGGGACATTGAGATTCAACCAACTTCTCCAGGCCTACACATGCAGCTAGTAAAGGAACATCTAAAATTTAAGTTTTTAAATAACGTTTGTCTTCCCCTTTCCACTGTTAATCTCTACTACAGCATCCCAAATCTAGGTGTCAGACAGGCTCCAAGAAGGAAGACAGACTGGTCATTTCCTATGGGTTCTGTCAAGCACACATACTCAAGCTATGAATATACCCTTACCTTGTTCTTCTGAAAGCACAAGCCCAATAAGACCAAAAAAGCCTATTTCTTTTCTGAATTGGGTAACCTTCCTTGTAGTGTATGTTTAAAATACCCAGATAAAATGCAAGGTATTTGCTGAGCATGGTAACTCACGCCCTTAATCCTAGTACTCAAAAGGCAGAAGCAAGAGGATCCCTGTAATTTCCAGGGCCAGCCTGGTCTACTTAATTAGCTTCAGTACAACCAGGACGACATAGTGAAACCCTATTTAAAAAATTCAAAAGCAAAGTATCTAGTCAGATTCAAATTTCACATAAATAAAGATGCCCCCAATGTCCCGCAGAACTAATGCCATTGTATGTAGCTTTCAGCGTTTACCTGAAATTATTATTTAACCGAACAACCTAATTTTTTTCTTAACTAAATTTGAACATATATACAAATTGGAAACTAGAAATTTTACTCAAAATGCGTCCACAATAAGTAAGAACAGCATTTTGCTTAACAATGAGTTAACAAACATGGCTTCTTAACTCTGAAACAGTCATGGGGACAGGTCTTGTCTCTCTACACCTTCTGACACCATCTACAACATCTGTGTCCTTAGCCGCCACGTTTTCTCTCATAGTCACAAAGCCATTATGTGAAGTCAGACTTCATATTAAGTCACCATTATTCCTAGAGAAAAAAAGGAACTACGACCTCCCTGTGCATCTCTCTAGCGATTAAAGAAACCTCCTCCCTCTGAGGTAGTATGGGAAGGTGTCACCCTTGTCTCATTTCCTATGACCCTGCTCCATACGCATGAAGGAATTAGTTGCTAGCAATAAGTATGGCTTTACCATGATGGATATTAAACCAATCAGAAAACCGTCTCTGCACCCGAGGCAACTCTTGTCTCAACGCCAGAGACTTTGGACTCATTAACCAGGAGGCACTGGAACCGACAGCCCTGTTGTACTCAGTAGGCATCCATAAATCATCAGTAGGAACTTAGAGAAATCCCAGCTCTCAGTTTACAACTTTCCCTTCAGAAAGCAAAACTTAGGAAATCGAAAAATGCCTTTTCTTCATGAAAAAATCTGAATTCACTTACTTTAAAATAAAATAAACGAAAAGGAAAGGAAAGAATACAGGTCTAATTAACTACCAGATTCCCAACCCTTCTTCCCTTAACAGCATTATCACAAAGCACTTCACTGTGTCACGATGCCAGCTTTCTGTGGTGTCCACGTGCAACAATTAGAGAAAGACAGAGAGAACTGTGACACACCTCACCTCTCCAGCCCCCAGCTTCAGCTCCTATCTAACTGGACAAGTCATCAAATGTCTATTCATTTATAATACTGAAACATTTGATTTTTAAAATGATGTCCACAAATATTCTTACTCTACCATGTATAAGATAACAACATGTAATGTCAGCTGTAATTTTGTGATTAGAATTCAGCCTTTACAAAAAAAAAGTGTCATTGGAATTTAAATTTTCTCTTATTGTATTCAGATCTACGTGTGTCTGTGTGTACATGTGTGCATAAAGGTATGTATATGTGTGCTTCCTAGCCAAAGTCATACATTCTGATCTGCAGTGAATTTCTATTCCACAGC